GTTATTTTCTATTATTTATTAAAAACTATCATTCGTCATATTTATTTCAATTCGAATAACGATTTATTTTGTAAGAGATTTTGCTCCAAAACTGTCAATGTTTGGAAACTTGAGTGCAGCAACGTCGTGCTCAAAAGTTCGACGATGAACCAGTAGTACATGTGTTTACTATCCCGTTCTTACAATAAGTCTTCCGACGGTATTCGTACGTACTTGGGTAAACTGTGTGGAAGAATAAGAATAAAACGAAAAATTATTGAATATTATTTAATTAAAAATTCTTGTAACGAAAATCGATATAAAACATCTAGATGTGTATAAGAGACAGATCTAAACCCTTTTCATCGCAATCATCTTCGTGACGATCCAAGTACTTCGGTTGAATTTCCGTCTTGCAAAATCGGCATCTGACTAAGGCAGGACCGTTGTAGTTTCTCCTGCATTTAATCAGATGTTGAATATACTTCGTCCTTTTTACCGTGTGGCTAACGTCGTAAGGACAAGTAAATTGAGTAGGATCCATCGTTGCTTCGTTGCTGTTGCCTCTTGTCTTGTCTTGATCGACTGACTGTTTTGCTGCTGCCTCAGAGCGATTGATTGTTGCTTCAGATAGATTCCGACATTCGTACGGTTTTCGTACGGTTTGAGGTACACTTCCCGACGATCTCTTTTATATGCTTCGATCGAGAGACCATAACGTCATCGGTCATACAATCTCAGAAATCCTTAACGTCATCTAATTTATAATATTCACGTGTGCGATCGGTCCCTCATGACGTCATGACTCGTTGGCTTACCACCTTCGTTCGAAACCGATGACGTGATGGTCGGTTGCGCAGACAGATGACGTAACGACTCGAAAGAATATATATATATATATTCCCGCACATTTTCATCATTCTGCTTTCGGATGTCACGAGTATTCGATCGAGACAACAAAGATGGCGTTAATTCTTGCAATAACGGTGGATGGTGTACCGTTGCATGTAAATAGATGTGTATAAGAGACAGATTCTTATTCTTGCTTGTTATCATCTGTCTCTGGACGAAGAATCGATCGAGAAATTTCAGATATACGCCGACTTCGTCCTTCGTCGTGCCGACGAACTGACAGCAACGTTGTCTAAATGCAGACGTAAGTTGGACGATTATAAAATGCTGAACACACGAGGACGTAAGTCGCATAAGGCGTGTCTTGCAGATCGTGTCGATCAGGTGACCGGTGAAGTAAATGATATGTGTTTGCAAGCTGCTCGCATCGACACACGTTTGCGAAAATGTAAACATTACCAGACGAAGGAAGGATCGGAAGAGGAAAGTCTGATGAACTCGATCATGTCGTTGATGGAATACCGAAAAGGTATGTCGAACGTGAACGAGTGGCGTGAACAATATAAGAAAGTGACAGAGACTATGGACGAGATTCTCTGCATATACCTAGGGAGGAATTGTCCGAGGAGAACACCTGTTGCATATGCTTCGAGGCTCCGGTGTCGATACTGACAAAACCGTGCAATCACATGATGTCGTGCGAGACGTGTGCGCACCTCACCACGAAGTGCTACGTGTGCAGGGCAAGGATCGAGCAGCGACTGAGGAAATGCGACGTTGAGGAGGGGACGAAAGTTTTTAAATGTTGAACCACTTGTGTGTTATTTTTCTGATTTGAGAATTAAAATAAAAAACTATGAAAATTGAAATCACGCCTAAATGTGGTTATATTTTTTGGACTTTCATTCAAAAGAATTCTAGAATCTCCAGGACACATAATGCTGTAACTGCCGCACGAATACCGAAAGCACCCCTTTTGTAGAGTTTAGCTCGGTATCGATAACGTCATCGTTACAGATCTAATGCAAACGTAGGAACGCATGACGTAATGGGTCTGTTGACTTCCTAGGATAGGCCAACGACGTCATCGGTCTGAGAAACGATGATCAGCTATGTACCTTGACGTCATCGGGTGCATCCGACGCTGTATAAAACAGTCTTCCAAACACAAAACTCTCCACTTTGCGACGAAGTTAACTCAAGTATTTCGATAAACATGGAGAAATTCGAACCTAAGAAACTGTTGGAGATAAGAACAGGCATGTCAGGTTTGCTGAAGACGTGTGGAGGCGGAGAGGCACCCCTTGCAGAGGCTGTGACGTTCATCGCAAACATCGATTCCAGAGACGTTCCGACGATCATGTTCTTCGACGGGCCGGATGGTCCTTTCGCCAAATGGTGCACGCCGTTCGTGGCCTGTCTCTTATACACATCTAGATGTGTATAAGAGACAGGGAAGAAGAAGAATAAAACGGAAAATTATTTAATATTATTTAATTAAAAATTCTTGTAACGAAAATCGTTATGAATTCCTTTGTGGTATCGTACTTACATTTGAAGATCTAAACCCATTTCATCGCAATCATCTTCGTGACGATCAAAGTACTTCGGTTGCATTTCTGTCTTGCAAAATCGGCATCTTATTAAGGCAGGACCGTTGTAGTTTCTTCTGCATTTAATCAAATGTTGAATATAAGATGTGTATAAGAGACAGGCGTCCGAAGGGGACGCGGTCGTCAGCGAACATGCAGCACGTCCACTTGA